GAGAGGTCCACATGTAGTACCTATATATGTAATATCAAAGCAATTGCACTTGTGGTTTTTAACAAGAAGTCGAAAATATCAGTTTTTACCAAAAATGACAAAAATATTCACCAAAATTAGAGAATTAAAGATATCATTACAAAATGAACAAATCTGAGAGAGGTCCACATGTAGTACCTATATATGTAATGTCAAAGCAATTGCACTTGCGTTTTTTAACAAGAAGTCGAAAATATCAGTTTTTACCAAAAATGACAAAAATATTCACCAAAATTAGAGAATTGAAGATATCATCACGAAATGAACAAATCTGAGAGAGGTCCACATGTAGTACCTATATATGTAATATCAAAGCAATTGCACTTGCGGTTTTTAACAAGAAGTCGAAAATATCAGTTTTTACCAAAAATGACAAAAATATTCACCAAAATTAGAGAATTAAAGATATCAACATGAAATGAACAAACCTAAGAGAGGTCTACCCAAGGTACATATACACCAAGTATCAAAGCATTTAGGCTTGTAGTTTTCAAGAAGAAGTCGAAAAAGTAAAACATTGACACGGACGACGACGACGGACGACGACGACGGACGACGACGGACAATCACTCATATGATAAGCTCCGCTCGACAAAGTCGACAGCGGAGCTAAAAATATTATTTTTTTTACCAAAAATCAAAATTAGAGAATACAAGATATCATCACAAAATGAATAAATCTGAGAGAGGTCCATTTGAGGTACATATATGTATACAAAAGACGACGATCCCAAATGATCTAGCACATTTAGAAACCAGTTGTTCGTTGTTTGGAAATTAAACGTATGATGATTTACATCATTAATGTTCATCATCAAATCAATTTCATGGTCATTCACAGATGTTAGGAGGGGGAGGGGGGTTCTAGCCTGTGTCATGTAATTTGATTACCAAGTTTTAGGATTTATGCCATGATTTTTCATAATGATATCTTCTCACTGTTCATTAAAAGGCTAAACATACACAATTGTGTTAGGCACTAAGACTAAAGTTTAGCTACTCACCACTAGTTGATAGAGAGTCAGCATTTCCAGTTTGTCGAGCTGAGGAGGAACTTCCAGCTGCACTGAGGACATTCCTAGCTTTTTTCTCATCATAGCCAGCAGTTTCCAATGCCATTTGTATTAGAAACTCTGGATGTTGAGAGAATTCAGCTTTCAATTTATCCTTCACTGTAATCAATTAGTATGAAGAGAACACAAATATTATTATATGGGTACAGAGAAAATCCGGTGATGACATGTAACAAATATGAACACAATGTAACAAATATGAACAAGCCATGCATGGCACAGTCCCTGTTAATTATCAAATCTAAGTTTTGTTTATATTAATATATATAGTACAAGTACTTGTTCATATTGAGAGATATTGCTCTGGAACAGCATTAATTAAAACAAAATGGCCATCATTCGGTCATTTTGAATTGGATCACCAAACCAATATATCTGTATTATCTATGACATGATGTATAATGATTATAGAAAAATTGTTACATAATCAAAGCATGTCAGAGATATGGCACTAGAACCACATTCATTGAGAGGTGATCTCATATTCAAACACCTGGGTCAAACCTACTAGACCTACAATTAGTAGTAGGTTTGAACCTAACCTCCGGATTAACTGTCCATTAATGCCCCCACTGAAAACAAACAACAGAGAACAATGAAATAAGCAAATAACACTGAATAAACGGCAAGGTAAATACTACATCAAATTATAGTAAACACGTACTGCATGCGTGACTCAAACCGGCGCTCACGTACGGCACCAAATCGCCTAGCTTCACGACACTACACGTCTTCCCCTCGGCCACCCCCAAAAAAGGATGCTTAATAACCGAGCTTATTACGTGCAGAGAACATGAATCCCGTCACAATGAAAACAGACCTAGGAAAACCTAGGTTTTTCTTACAAAACTGTTTCAGCCTGGTTTCAGTGTGGTGCAGCGCTGTGTGGTGTGGTGTGTGTGTGTGTGCGTGTGTCTGTGTCTGTCGGTTCCACGGATATCTCAAGAACCGTATGTTGGTTTTTAATGAAACTTGGTGTGTAGATGCCCAAAGCTAATGCGCAGATTTGATTAGGTTTTGGTTGAAATCCATGCATATTAATTACCTGATTTGCATGATAAATAGCTAATTTTTAGCTGTTTCTTGACTCTTCCACTGATATCTAAAGAGCCATTCATTAGATTTTGATTAGATTAGATTTTGATGAAACTTGGTATGTAGATGCTCTGGACTAATGCACATATGTGATTAGTTTTCGGTAAAAATCCATGCATATAATTAACCTAATTTGCATAATGATTAGTAAATTTTTGGTTTTTCCACTGATATCTCAGGTACTAATCACATTTCAATGAAACTTACATAGATACATAAGACGATGAACAGACATACATGTGAAATATTAATTACCTAATTTGCATAATTAATCAATTTCAGCTTTTGATAACAAACAACAGAGAACATTACTTTTCAATGAAACTTGGTACATAGATGCTCTAGAACAATCCAAAAACCTGATTAATTTTAAGTAAAAATGTGTGCATATTAATTAACTAATTTGCAAGTACTAATTATCCCATTTCAATGAATCTTGGTACATAGATGTTCTAGGACAATGCACATGTTTTGGGTTAAAATCAGTGCATGTTAATTACCTAATTTGCATAATTAGCCAATTTTTAACTTTTACACTGATATCATATGTACTAATTATTCCATTCAATGCACAGACCCGCGCAGTTTTGAATTAAAATCACATCATATTAATTACCTAATTTGCATAATAAATCATAATTTTGGTTCAATAAAACTTCGTACATAGATGGTCTGTGACAGTACTTATCTTAATTCAATGAATCCTTGTACATATGTACACTAACACAATGTGATGATCAAATTAGTTTTAGGTTTATATACATCTACATTTGTATAATAATTACCTAATTTGCATAATAATTTACTTTTCAGCTTTCCACTAATTTAGTTAGGATTAATCATCACATTATAATGAAACTTTGTACATGCGCGTCATGAAACAATATACAGACCTAAATCTATGCATAATAATTGCTTAGTTTGTATAATAATTCATTTGGTTCATTGAGGTAATCCACAGCTATGATTTGTTTAATGTCGATAAACATGCATATTGATTATCTATTATCAGCCCATTTCTGATATCTAAAAAATCAGATTTAAATCGAATTCATTGGCAAAACCATGGATGAAAAATCAAATGTATTTTCTGTATGTATTATAAATTTTGATAATGTGAATCACATTTTTTTCATGCTATGCATCTCAACTAGCAGACAAAAATTAGTTGCCAAGCTTCTCGTTTGAAAGCAAATCTTAAATTTTGAATTAATTTTCACGTGTCTCATGTGAGTTCTTTCTAAACTTTCTTTGATTTTCCTTGCAAGTCATGTAAATGCTAATAAAAAACAAACTTGCATTAGTTTCACAAATCTATTTACATCATGTCATTTATAAGTGTGATGAAAATTATATTTATTTATTTCTGTGATTGGTAATAATAATTAGTTTCCACACAACTTACATTTTGGTACAAGTCAATACAATTGTTATTGTGAATAATTAGACAATTTATCTGGTATTACAGACGTGATGGTTTGTTATACATGTACATGTGTTTTGTCATTAAATGTGAATCAAGTGATATCATAGACCCTCTCTATTGTGATATATATGGTAAATTAATGTTTGAAACAGAACAGAGAAAAAATGCAATAGAATTTTAATGAGCAGCTTCTTAGGATACATTACTTACGTTATATATATATTTGGCATAGTCAGTAAAATATGTTTGTCCATGGAGCGAACTGGTATATTTTGTCTACAACAAGTACAGTCAGTTTTGTGCCCATGTCAGTTCATAAATTCATAGAACACATTTTTTGGTTAAGTTTGTAAAGTCTATGAGAGCGAGTTATCAAAATACAATGAAAGTATTAAATCAACAAGCCATGCATGGCACAGTCCCCGTTAGTTATCAAATTTAAGATATAAAGTTTTGTTTATAGTAATATAGCTGGAATATAAACATGTAAGGAATATGATGATTTTTTAACATTTAAATGATTGACATTTGTATCTGATCGTCAAATGAGTATTGACAGATATTGCTCTGCAACAGCATTAATTAAAACAAAATCAGCCATTATGAATATATGTATAATGAATATATAAAATTTGAACATAGTCTGTCAAAGCATGTCAGAGATATGGCTCTAGAAGCCCATTCATTAAAACAAAATGGCCACTAGTCAGCCATTCAGAATCCGATCTAAAAAATAAAACAAGTTTTTTAGCACAAAAATAGCGACCATTAGGCCACTTTGAAAAAGATCGTCAAACCAATATATCCGTATATCTGTGACATGATGTATAATGAATATTAAAAATTTGAACATAATCAGTCAAAACAAGTCAGACATATGGGTCTGGAAACCCATTCATTAAAACAAAATGGCCACCGAACAGCCATTTTAAGTCTGATCTGAAAAATAAAATGATGTGCATCAGGAACCCGTAACGTCTAATGTATGTACCAAGTTTGAACGAAATCCATCCATAAATGCCAGAAATGCTTGATATTTGATGATTTTTTAGCACAAAAATGACAACCATTTTTGAATAGGATCGTCAAACCAATATATCTGTCTATCTATGACATGATGTATAATGAATATTTAAAATTTGAACATAATCAGTCAAAAAAAAGTTGGAAATATGGGTCTAGAAGCCCATTCATTAAAACAAAATGGCCACCAGTCGGCCATTTTGAATGTTATCTGAAAAACAAAATTATTTGCATAATGTCTAAAGTATATATCAAGTTTGAACAAAATCCATCTGTAAACAGCCGAGAAATGCTTGATTTTTATGATTTTTTAGCACAAAAATGGCCGCCATTCGCCATCTTGAATCGGATCGTGAAACAAATTGAATCAGATCGTAAAATAAAAAGATGTTCATCAAGGTGCTATAATGTCCAACGTATATAAAAGATTTGAACAAAATCCATCTGTAAACAGCGGGGAAATGCTTGATTTTGATGATTTTTAGCACAAAAATGGCCGCCATTCGGCCATCTTGAATCGGATCGTGAAACAAATTGACGTGCATATGTATGATATCATGTATGATGTATGTGTGAAGTTTGATTGTGATTGGTCCAGGCATTTCTAAGATACAGGTCCGGACGCACGCACAGACGCACGCACGCACAGACGCACGGAGGTCACGGAGGACTGCGTCCGAACGGGGACTAATAATGGCAACATTGTTTTCTGCGAAGACATCTCAAAACCCGAGTCCCAAAATCACAGTCCCTCTAACACTGCGTCAAAATTAAAGTCGGCGCTAGCACTACGACCACTGTAACATTGTCAGCTGATGACATTGCGGGGAAATAACGGGTATTTACCGCTGCCGATATCTTACGTTTCTGTGAGAAAATGCACACATTTCGAACCCTCTGTTAATTAAAAACAAGCAGCCAGTCGGCTGAGATAGCTCCGTTGTTCGCAATGCACATTTCAATTAAGGAACAGAAGATATCATTAGAAAATGAACAATATGTATAGTATCAAAGTAATGGGACTTGCTGTTTTCAACAAGAATTCAAAAATATCACTTTTTTACCCAAAATGACAAAAATATTCACCAAAATTAGAAAATTAAAGATACCATCACGAAATGAACAAATCTGAGAGAGGTCCACATGTAGTACGTATAAATGTAATATCAAAGCAATCGGACTTGCTGTTTTCAACGAAAATTCAAAAATATCACTTTTCACCAAAATTGACAAACATAATCATCAAAATTAGATAATTGAAGATATCATTATGAAATGAACAAATCTGTGAGTGATCCACCTATATATGTAATATCAAAGCAATTGGACTTGTGGTTTTTAACAAGAAGTTGAAAATATCACTTTTCACCAAAAATGACAGAAATATTCATCAAAATTAGAGAATTTGAGATTTTGACATGAAATGAACAAATCTGAAAAAAAAACCATCCAAGGTACTTGCATATCAAATTTGGAAAAATTCTGACTTCCGGTTTCAAAGAAGAAGTTGAAATTGTAAAGTTGACGATGGACAATCAGTAATATGAACAGCGGAGCTAATAAACGATTATTTTAGAAAGTACATCGAAGCACAGTACATTGAGGGACTGTGGTTGAATCAAACACTCAACGCAGCCCCCTTGGTTACCTCAATCAGAATTTCTCCTTGTCTTGCATCGATCGCGATATCGCAACGTGCATTGTGTCTTCAGTACAAGGTCAGGGTTCGTTTTTTATAAGCAGTCTCGTCTGCAGATGAATAGCCTTGAATAATCGCTTACAGTAGTTCATTCAGCGCGAGTCCATTTAATTTAATTTTTTGTTTTGATACTTCGTGTCACTGGCAATTGAATAAGAAAAACTACAAATAACCGATGTGCAGCAAATCAAAATAAATCTTCATGGCGTACACTGCATTTATTTTTCCGGATTTTGCGATGCAGCACTCCTGAAAGAATTGTTTGAAAATTGAACACGCAACAATAGTAATGGCTTGAACACAGTAGCGTATTAAAGTCTCAAGTGCAACTTTGTATCAACAAATTTTCGTTTCTGATGCATATCAATTGTCAAGCCCAATGAAAAGTCTGATTCACGTCCTCTGCTCAATTTGCGACTCAAGCATAACAGTTTATCAAAACAAAACAATTTATTTAGCACGCTGTTCACCGGTATATGAAAGAGTGTTTTTTAGGCAAGACACACGGTAAAATGACTACTGCACATCAATAAATCTACACATTTTGGAGACAACTATCTAGTCTTCAAAGAGCAATGTAAACACTGTCAATCCTAAGAAATAAACAACAGCTTGAATGAGGTGTGAATGAGATCAGTTTGAACCACAGTTTTTATGCAAATTCATGAGGTCATCCTGAACCGCACTGTCTATTGTTCAAACTTCCAAACCGCAAAACTGGATTTTGTTCGAGCGGTTTAGGGCGGTTTGGGTTTTCGTAGGTTTGACCCACATGTTTGAATATGAGATCACCACTAAAACAAGATAGCCACCAGTTGGCCATTTTGAATCCGATCTGAAAAAAAAAAAATGATGTCATCAGGAACCCATAATGTTTAATGAATGTACCAATTTTGAATGAAATCCATCCATAAACGACCAAGATCCAATTACGAAGATGCTCGAAATGTTTAATTTTTGATAATTTTATAGCACAAAAAAAAAACAATTGTAAAGAGTTGAGATCTGGTTCCAGAATGCAGAAAATGATGGATTTCGATGATAAACAAATATGACAAATATGGCCGAATGGCTAAGATATATACTGGTAGGTATATATAAGATATATATAGATATACAGGCACACACGCACAGAGGTCAATCCATAAGAAAAAAGTCCCTGTTTTCGGATGGTGTCTGAACGGGAACTAATTGAGGATATCTTTAAGAGGTTATGTATTCAGTAAGAATATCAGTTGTTGATGGACAGATGGCAATGAATGGTGACAGACAATCACCTAATAGTAAATTAACAGTTCAATTCCATCATAGTTGCGCTAACCATGTATATTACAAGCCAAACTCACATCTAGTCTTTTCAGCGGCACGGATCTGCACTTGTTTTGGAGGTGAATGTGCAGGTGACCTAGCAGGAGATCGCCTTCTTCTTGGTGACCTTGATGCATTATTAAAGGATGTCTGATGAACAGGAAATACAGATGTGGTTCATAGATTAGTATTCAACATAGTAAGTGCTCTTACTTAAGAAAGTATCCACTGGTACATGTAACAGTGAATTGGTATTCAGGCATTTAACATGGTTATAATAGCTGATTACAAAGCACACTGCTTTCCAGGAAGCAAATGACTATCAAATACAAAACCAGATACCATTTCATGAGTACATAAAACATGAGGGACACTGATAATACCATTAAAATAATAAATAATGAATATATTTGAAATTAAGCAACAGAAGCAGTAGGCTTTTTAATTTATTGCTGCTGAAAGTAGCAACAGGAGAAAAATGAGTTAAAAATTGATCTGTGATTCAGACAATCTCAAAAAAATACTGAGCATGCTAGCAGGGGTTTTTCTAGAAAAAACTGCAAGAGGGAGCACTGCAATTCAGTGGCACCTGGGGGGGGGGGGGTTCTCCCTACCAGGGTGTGGAGGGTTTTTGATAATTTGATAAGTTAAAATGGCTTCCTTAGGGTCAAAATTACTATCACACAGGTCACAGTTGAAGACTACATGTGATCCCTGGTCAATCAGAATGTTATGGTTGCCAGAGGATCTGCTCACCAGGATAAGAGGGCACATGGCCATTGCATGAGGGCGCTGCACCCCTGTTTAAAAAAATCCTTGATACTAGTATAACAACCTATACATGTACCTCATTTAAAAGCTTAGAAATAGGTGAATACAGTTCAGTTTTTAATTTAATTTTCCTGTTGCTAACCTAATTAACATTCAGAGTAATTAAGTCAATGCTATGCCCCACAAAAATGCTCTTTGTGTGATCTCTAGATTATTAATGATATTTTCAATCAACTTGTTAAATTTATGGTGAATAGTTGACCATGAATGCATCCCTTATGAGGATAGCATCCCATTCAGGCAAACAGTTTCATTAATAAAAGAAGGAAGGAGCCAAGTCTAATGGGTAATAGTAAAAATGTTCCATTCCACAAAAAATATCCAAATATGTTTGGCTGAACATGACACTATTTTAAAAAAGGCCACTATTGCTATTCATTGTAGAATAATTAGAGACTTCAGCAAGCACATAGATCATAAGTTTAGCTGAGACAATACCTTATTTAATGAAGAGCAAAAAAGACCAACTGCAACAAAACACATGCACATAACCCCATGCAAAAACACAGAAACAAATTCATAATAAAATGTCCGAAAAAAAAAAGCAAAACATCTGATTTGAAGATGTGAATGAAAAATAGAGTACTGAAATAAAACTGACATGGTCCCAAGAAGTTACAACAAACCTCTTGCTCAGAGTTGACTGTATCTAATGTTCGATTGTTTCCATCATTTCGTCTTTGGGCAGATTGAATACGTCTTTGTTTCTGTAATATTTCTATTCTTTGTTGACTCTCACGTCTTCTCACCTCCTCTTGTTCATGTTCCTGTGCTCGTCTCAAAGCTACCTGTCTCTGCTGCTCTTTGACTTGACATTCATAACAATCCAAACCAGTACGCTGCACCTACAGTTAACAATCTTTGCTTTAAATCCAACATTATCAAAATGTAGTCTAATTCAGATCCATTATAACATCATCATTTGTATGTTAAACAAGCAGCCTGTCGGCTGAGATAGCTCCGCTGTTAGCAATGCACATGGCAATTAAAGAACAGAAGATATCATTAGAAAATGAACAAATCTGAGAGAGGTCCACATGTAGTACCTATATGTATAAAATTGGTTTGAAATAAAATTAGATTTATTTGCTTTTTTGATAATGGTTTGCACAACAATCCTATAGTTATCTAACAATGACAAGGGTCTACTTGTCAGGAATATAACTGAGTAAAAATTTCACATGAATACATATGTAATATCAAAGCAATTGGACTTGAAGTTTTTAACAAGAAGTCGAAGATATTACTTTTTACCAAAAATGACAAAAATATTCACCAAAATTAGAAAATTAAAGATATCACTACAAAATGAACAAATCTGAGAGAGGTCCACATGTAGTACCTATATATGTAATATCAAAGCAATTAGACTTGCGGTTTTCAACAAGAAGTCGAAAATATCACTTTATACCAAAAATTACAAA